AGCAGGTCTTGGGTGGCAATGTGGCAGAGTCTTTTCTGTGTGGTGTCAGACGATTCCTTCCAGAAGCCAGCAAGCTAGTGGTGAGGAAGTTAAAACTGATCCCTACAGCAGAACTGTAGAGCCAGGCTGAGTCAATATGAGGCCTCTTGCTTTTCCCAATTAATGAACTTGGTAACCTTCCTCAGTGCCATTGCCCTCCGGGCTCTTTACAAACTCCAAATAATTAATGCAGGAGGCTGCCTTCTAGTGGTGCTTTTTCTCCTTTTGATATAAGGTATTGCTGCATAGCCAAGGCTGCCCTTTAATTGCCATAGCCTCTGATGTGCTGGAATTACAGATATGTCCCACAATGCCCAACTAACAATATGTACTTGGAACATAAAGGGCTTTTCCTGTGTGTGCTACCAACCTGAGTTCTACAGCAATTAAATTAACACTAGGTAGAGAAAACAATAACTGCTCAGGTACTTCTTCAGGGAAATGGTCTCCCGGGACAGTGTGGCCTTCCCTTTAGAGGCAAGGTTCAAAGAGAAGTGTCCATTGTACAGCATCTCTAACCTCCCATCGCTACCTACATGTCCTCTGTCTGGGAAATGCTAGAGGAAACACCCAATGTTCCAGATAAAAAAACATCCCCAAATGCAGACTCCACTGTGAGTATCATGTTCTGAAAATCGAGTTCCCCATGAGATGATGAAGAGCAAGAGAATATGGCCCACTTTCTTGGTGGGTGTTGGTACTGAAAATGAGCAGGCCAGTAGTCTTGTCTGTATGCAACAGCACCCAAGAATAACATCCATAACACTATGAACAGATAGTGATTTGTTTCATTACAGGTGTCTAAAGAACATTTTGAGCCTTTCCAAACACTTAGATATACATCAATGTCTTTGCCCCTCGGCCTTTATCTCAGGGAGGATGATGAATGATTAAAATGAGGTAAAGGAACAAAATGATGAATTAAAAATGAATGAAGCATTTTTAAGAGGAAAGCATGAAGACACAGAGAATTAAATCGATTTTATCAGTGCCAAGCAGGCCCCTACCCTAATGTCCAGGCGAAGCTGGTGAAGTTCTCATGGACAAAGCTCAAATATCTTAAGCTCCAGACTAATATATCCCCATTGCCTGCTATTCATCTTCCCCTAAACACATCATATTCACTCCCTTAACCACCTTCAGCATTTCCCATCTCAGAATGTGGTTCTCCCTTTCCTGTCTCAATCACCTATACCACAAGCCTGAGACGTCATCTTAGACCCCCTTCTTCCATACCCCCATTTATAGATCCCTGTGAACCTGTCTATGGTAAAACTATCTAAAAGTGTGCTCTGAACTCCTTCCTGCCTATTGAACTGGCATGCTCTACAGCCAAACTCTTACTAACTCCACCCTCAAGGATCACACTTGACTTCTACTATGTCAAGACTTTATCCTGTCAGTGACTTGTCACACCCAGTAGAACAAGAATACACGCTCACCTCCCCTGCCCTCGATGACTTGGTTGCCCTGGTATCCTTTTGAAGCTTCGTTGAGCTTAGCCATGGCCAAACTTCTGTCCTCGCCTGTCCTGTCCTTTAGAACAGTTTGGCTCACCAAAGAGAATGAGTAAGTGTTTGATATAAAGGACAGATGCAGCCATTCATTTTTAGCTGGTCTCCAGAGTTACTACCCAACCCCATACTTGGGAGGACACTTGTGAGCAGAGGAGCCACCCCCAACCCTGGGTTAGAAACTCCGGAAGCAGTGTTCCAGAGCTCCTTAGAGGCAAGAGACTCAGCTCCAAGCACTTCTACACTCTGTGGCCTTGAGCCAATTACCTGAGTGCTCCTCCTGTCTACCTCTCAGAGCTGACTTAAAGGTCAAGTTACACAATCAGTGGGTCTACTCCCAAAAAGGAAGCCAATGTGCCACCGCTGCCTATGTGTGCATGTGACTCTGTGACTCTACTTCTGGTAGCTAGGCTTCACCCTGGTACCTTCTGATTCACTGGGTGAAGAAAGACTAGGTCTGGGCCTACTTAATTCTTAACTAATTAAGAGGTTAATTCTTTTGGGTTGCAGTGACACACTACCATGGAGTAGGTTATTTATAAACAGAACTTTCCTTTTTCCAGTTCTGGGAAAGGCCTGATGCTGGCTCATAGACCTATCTTCTCATTGTGCCCTCCCATTGTGAACAGAGCAAGAGAGAACTCTGAGGTCTCTTGTATAATGGTGTAAAATCTACCTGTAACCTAGTCGTTCCAAAGGCTCCATCTCTTGCACCATCACATGGAGACCTGGGTTTCAGCCTAAGAATTGAGATAAATAAAAGTGTCTAGTCTCTGGCACTACTGATTCTCGCATTTCTCACACTAAGAAACAGAGGCTTCTACAGCCATTGTTGCTTGCTTGCTGACCCTGTGTCACTCCACAAAGCACACTATTTCAATGCCCAAACTTCATGTTTATATCACAGCCCCCTTTTCCCTGTTTCTAGAATCTTTACCAAGTCTGTAAATTCCTCTGGGCAGAAATTATACTTTCCACCCTCTGCACTCTCTCATTTTCTGTTTTGCAAAATAATGAGTACATCTCCAGTGTTATTAATAATAGAATAGGGAAAGGGGAGAAAACTCCAAATACCAATGGTAATAAAGAGCATCTACAAATGAATATCAGCGCTGGATTCTCTTAAAAATTAATTATGAAGCAAAGAACATTCTGCCATCAGTGGTGATGGGAAAAAGATTATTTTCTTTATGACACATTTTGTAGAATGTAGGTTATTTGAGATTTAAGTCTAACTTACTTAAACACCAATATTTCTGGAAATATAATACCACAAACAGCATTTCAACTCAAAATTCTTATAGTGATAGTCAGAGCATTGTGTCTGTCACATGTAAAATCCATTATATAGTCGTGGCAACTGTTTGCAATAGGTTATAAATTTTTATTGAGATGATCATCTCACAATTGAATTGCTAACTGCATTATATGATCATGAGCAAATAAGTCCATAGGGGCTTTGAAAGTGCTTTGAATATCATTTCTAAAGATCAAAGCCCCTCCAAACCCTTCCATTTACCTTGTGGAAAAAAGAGAAGTCTTGTCAACAGGTTCAAATCAATTATTTTTATGGATGACTATTACATTGCAGAGCTGAGGTAAGGTATTACCTGGCTTAATAATGCACCCTTATGTCCTTTGAAAGCAGTCAGCTTCCTAATCAGGTTTCAGTGAGGAATTTTACCAAAGACCTGTTTAGAAAATGGCCTCCCTGTTCATCATAGCAGTTCAATAACTTTCAAAGGAGTGAGCCCGAGCCATGGAAATGTTAGTGATCCTTGGCTTCTACACTATCAGGTGCAATGCTGAGGCACTTGAGAGTGGCAGCTGTCAGTTCTGTTCTGACGCTCAAATTGGTTCACGAACAACTGGAAACTCAAGTTTGTTCCAAAACAATTCATCTATGAGGGAGCAATGTTTGCACAGAGCAAATACTACGTCTGCTCATATGCTATTGTGCTCACCAGAAGAGTAAGTGAAGTAAAAAATCTAAGGCACACAGAAACACACACACACACACACACACACACACATGCATGCATGCACGCATGCACACCACACTGGCTCACATGGCCACAAACACCCCTCCAGTATCTGATGGTTCCTTTCCACCTATTTCAGATGGCCTTTTCCTGTTTTCCAGGAACTCACAGGCAGCAACTGCTTACCTGTACTTGTAAAAGCAAATATCAAACTTTTCTTGAGGTGTTTGCTATCTGTATTATAGTGTTTTGCACATTCTGATCCACTTGACATCTAAAACTGTGCTCCCGTGCTCACATGTCACTAAGGCTGTGAGTAGTGCCCCATATACTCAGCTGTGCTTCATGTTGCTGCACTTAAGCATTCTTTGTTCCCTCCTCAGAAGTGTCTTTGACTCATTTTCCCTCAGAAACCAGTGCTGGATACTAAGCCCCACAGCAGCACAGCAGCCCTGAGCTCAGTATATCAGTGGCACACACCTCTCTGTCCATTATGGTGTAACCAAGGATCCAGGGCTCTGGAGCAGAACCTGGACCACTGGCCAATTCAGAGAGCTTGTATAAAGTTAGAAAATACTGATTCTCTCTCCCTTCATGTATGCATGGAACAAAAGTACTTAAAGGGAAAGTTTTTGAGGATGATAAGACGATAATATGAGTTTTACAAAATGAACATCAGTCTCCTTTAATTGCATGAGTTCCATTCAGAGATCCAATCTTAGCCAACAGGCAAAGCCTAGTGGCCTCAGGGATATAGCTGTGTGTAGACAACCCTCCCAGTCACACCCAAAGTCAGCAGCTCTTAAGCAGAAACATCTGGGAAACAGCCAGAGCCAGAAACCCACAGTTAAAGTAGAATCTATAGTTCCCCAGAGGGACTGTGCCAAATCAGACTCTTAGGCAGAAACCAGGATCCCCCAGAGGATATGGAGCCAGATAGTTCTGAGGGACCAAGGAAATTTCAGAATCAATTCTGAGAAACTGTCAGAGCCAGGAAGCAGTAAAGATGTAGCAGGTAGTAGGATCTCGGAGACAAAACTAGAATCAGGAACAACCAGGGTAATGACCAGATCCAGTGGTCACAAGCCAAACAAACTATGCATATTAGATATACAAACAGAACCAGAAGCCTGCAGACATGTGGTCTACATGGGAATTTGAGAGCTACAGTCAGAGGCAGCCTCCCTCAGAGCCACACAAATGGCACTGGGATTCCTCACAATGACTGAGCCGGTGTCCCATCAGAAATGCAATCTGACGCCATCAGCATCTCCATGAACCAACCGAAGGCAGATGGTTCTTAGAATCACAGCCAGAACTGAGAGTTTTGAATCTAAGCAAACCCTTGACTCTCTTTATAAAAGGAAGGAGATTTATACCAAAGAAACCAGGAAGGGCTTGTGTCCAAAAGGCAAGAGGAGGGCCAGTGAGCAGAACAGCACAGCATCTGGAGAGATCTCCTTACCGGCACACTTGGTCCTCGTGGTGAGCGGAGGTCCTGGTGGTCCTGTGCCTCCCTCTCCTGGTCGTGTGAGCAACACCCGGATCTCGTATTCCACATCAGGGTCCAGATGCCAGAGCTTATAGTTGGGAGAGTCCACAATGTGGGTCTCAGCCCAGGTGCCTGTAGTGGTGCGGTACTCTACCTCCTTCAGAATGATGGGGCCATCCCCAATAATGGAGTTGGCATTTGGCTTAATCCACAGGTAGGTGGCCCCCACTGCCAGCAGTTCTGGGGGGGCAATGGGTGTGGGAGGCTCTGTAAGAAAGCAAGCAAACAAAGGAATTTCAGCCTTGAGTTGTTTATAAAGTCGAATCTAAGCATATAAGGAAAAGTGGCTAAAATCTCAACAAAACCATAGAAGGCTGTCGAGATGGCTGAGCAGGTAAAGAAGCTTGCTGCCAACCACAACACAGTGAGATGGATTCATGGGGCCCACAGGGTTGTAGGAAAGAACTGACTCCTAAGACTGTCCCTGACCTCCCCTTGTAGTATGTGACATGTGTGTGTGTGTGTGTGTGTGTGTGTTCCCATTTAGTCTTACTTGTGTGAATGTGTGGCTAGGGATGACTGGTTTGAACTGTGTAACCTACCAGGGAGGGATGGGTCCCCCTATCTCAGCAGCCATTGACTGTCTGTCTCTAGTCTTCATTTAGAGGTGGAGCCTTGTGAGATATTTTTTTCCTATCCACGATGGCATATCATCTGGTGTGGTCATTATGTGGGTTTTGTTTAAGAGACCATGTCCTTGATATTTCATGGGTGCAGCTCTCTCATATATAAAACACACTGGCTCACCTCTGATATCCTCATTCTGTGGCTCTTCCAGCTCCTCGCCTATGATCTACTCTGAGCCTTAGTGGTACAGGTTGTGTTATAGATAGACGTGCCAGTTGGGTTTGGATACCCCATCGTCTGTTCTCTGCATTTTTTAAATACCAGTTACAGGTATGCTAGTTTGTTCTATGTCAACTTGACACAAGCTAGAGTCATCAGAGAGGAAGGACCCCCTCAATTAAGAAAATGCCTCCATAAAATCAGGCAGCAGGCAAGCCTATAGGGCATTTTCTTAATTAACATTTGCTGTGGGAAGGTCCAGTCCATTGTAGGCAGGGCCAATCCTGGGCTGGTGGCCCTGGGTTCTATAAGGAAGCAGATAAGCCAATAAACAGCACCTCTTCATGGCCTCTGCATCAGATTCTGACTCCAGGATTCTGCCCTCCTTGAGTTCCTGTCCTGACTTTTTTCATTGATGAACTGCAAGGTAGGAGAATAAGCCAAACAAGCCCTTTCCTCCCAACTTTGGTCGTGGTGCTTCATCACGGCAATAGAAACCGATCATCTCCATCTGCTGCAAAAAGAATTTCCTTTGATAGGGTGTGAGAGCAAAACTTACTTGTGGGCATAATGAAAAGTATACAGAATATAGTTAAGTGCTATACTGGTCTAGAAGGGTAGCCATAACAGATTCTCCTCTAGAGTCCATGATCTCACCACCCATGGGTAGCTGGATAGGTTTACAGTACCAGCCAAGAAGTCTTGCCTATGAAGGAGCCTCGTGCTCAGTTAGACAGCTGATGGTTAATCCCAAGTAATCACTGATACTATTGCACCACTGGGGACACCTAGGCACGTCGGTCATTGTCATGGTTAGTAGGTAGCTTGGTGAAACCACTGATTGCTTTTCTATTGTGGCAGCTTGCACGGGATCTCTGGATGCTGTGAGAGCTATTCCTCAGGAGGATGAGGCTCTCAGCTGGTTCCACCACAGATCCCACACACCACGAGCAGAAGTCCTCTGCAGACGCTGCTCTGAACACAGAAAAGGGTCATACAACAAGAATTCAGATTCTCCCTCACCCTGACAGGTTCCTGCCATCAGAGAGTGCCCTTGGCCACCAAGAGCCCAGCAGGAATCAAGGGCCAAAGGAAAGGTTACACCAAGTTACCTGATAACTGATCTATGAGGGACCTTCCTTAGGCAATATATACTTAACCAAATAGACCCAACCAAATTCCCAGAGCCATAATAGTGAAAGGAAACCCATAACTCCATGCAGGGTTTCCATATGTAGGCCAGGCTAGCTGCACACTCACTATGTACCCCAATTTGGGGATTATAGGTAGGTATGCATTGCCATACTTTACCAAATGGCTATTTGTTTCTTTTAAGATTTGTTTTCACATTTGTCCTTCTGAATGAGGATTGAGCATATTCCCTAGGGTCTTCTGTGTTGTTTAGCTTCTTTAGGAGTATAGATTTCCGTATGTTTATCCTATATTACATGGTTAATATCTACTTGTGAGTGAGTATATACCATGTGTGTCTTTCTGCTTCTGGGTTACCTCACTTGATGATCTTTTTCTAGTTCCCACCATTTGCATGCAAATTTCAGGATTTCCTTGTTTTTAATAACTGCGTAGTATTCCATTGTGTAAATGTGTACAATTTCTGTATCCATTCCTCCATTGAGGGACATCTGGGTTGTTTCCAACTTCTGGCTATTACAAACAGAGCTGCTTTGAACATGGTTGAGCAAATCTTAAGGTAGCACTATTCCCAGTTTTCTGAGAAAGCACCAATGTGATAGACATTGGAAGCAGGAGAAGTCAGGGACCAGGACAGGCGCTTCCCACAAGCAGACTCTGAAAGACTCTACTGGTCAAGGTATTGAAGCAGAGACTGAGAATAATAGCCAAACTTTTGGCAGAGTTCAGGGAGTCTGAGAAAAGAAGGGGGAGATAAAAAGGCCTGGAGGGGACAGGAGCTCCAAAAGGAGACCAACAGAGCCATGAACACTGAGCCCTAGGGTCCCTGAAAAGAATGCTATCCCAACCAGGGTAGTGCATGGAGAGGACCTAAAACCCCTGCTCAGATGTAGCCCATACACTGTCTCCAAGTGGGATCCCTAGTAAGGGGAACATGGACTTTCGCTGGCATGAACTCAGTGGCAGGCTCTCTGATCACCACCCCCTGGAGGGTGCAGCCTTGCCAGGCCACAGAGGAAAACAATACAACCAGTCCTGATGAGACCTGATAGGTTAGGGTCAAATAGGAAGACCTCACCTATCAGTGGACTAGGGGAGGGGCATAGAGGGAAGAGGGTGGGGTTGGGAGGAGACAAGGGAGGGGAACACAGTCGAAATACGAATTGAATAAGTTGTAATAAATGATAATAAAAAAAATTTAAGATTTTCTTTTCAGAATTTATTTCATTTTCTGAATTCTTTTTTTTACCTGGAGCTGGAGAGATAGCTCAGTGGTTAAGAGCATTTGTCTGCTCTTGAAAAGGAGTTGAGTTCAAGTCCCAGCACCTGCACAGTGGCTCATAGCCATCCATAACCCCAGTTTCAAGGGATCTGACTAACATCCTTGGATACCAGGCACACAAGTGGTACGCAAACACACTCCAGGTTAAACATTCTTACACATAAAATAAAATAAATAAATCTTTTTAATTTAAATATTTTATTGAATATTCATACATGCATATTATATTCATGGGACTTGCCCAAGGTCAACCAGAATTCCAGCATGGATGTGGGAGGAGCCCATGAAGTATGACCCATATCTGAGGTATATCAACTAGGAGAGGGAGGGTCACTGTTTCTCAGGCATGAGGACTCTGAGATCCAATGCGTGGTCCAAAGGTTTTTTTTTTTTATTTTTGATTGTGCACAATTGTGTGAGTGTGTACACGTGAGTGCAGGTGCCTGCAGAGTCCAGAAGAGAACATCAGATCTCCTAGGCTTGGAGTCACAAGTAGTTGTGAGCTGCCTGGTGTGGACAAGAACAGGAAGTACTCTTAGTGAATGAACTCTCTCCAGTATCCCCACGCCCACTTTTTTCGTTTGTTTTTGTTTTTTAAACAAACTTGATTTGTTTGTTATTTTTATTTGTGACAAACAGAGGAGTGGAGCAACAATCACAAAAGGAAGGACAGAGAGAGCATGTCCTCTCCTAGCAGCCAAAATAACAGCCCTGGACAATTCTGCACAGTCTAATCCAGTTCTCATTCACACATTTACATCATTTCCTCTGGTTTCAATGACACATAGGCCAGATGTAGATGTGATTTGCTTCCCTTACTTTAACCATACTAATAGTGCCTGTTGCAAGCTACAAGGGGGTTACTATCTTTTCTAGGTATTGAATAACTCTCAACTTATCCTTCTAATTATTCTCCCATTGTTGGACAATGGGTTATTCTAAGTTCAGCTATGGTAAATAATTCTGTCACAGACAGCTCTATACAAATTATTTCAGGCCTTCTTGTCTGAGTCTGACACTGTTTTATGACCAAAGACCAGAAATGCAGTTATCTGTCAAAGGGAATGAAGAAGTCCTTGAATCCTCCAGCAGAATGTAGCGGTGACAGGGTGAAAAGCCGGATGCAGATTTCTTTAAGAATGCCTTACTGGGAGTCTCTGGCTACACCAATGAGCAAATGAAGGCCTGGGTTTAGAAACTCAGGTAGAGACTTTGGGATAGAGCCTCATTCTGTGTCTTTCTTTTAATTAATTACCTTGCATTAAAGAGTCTCCAGGAGCAGGGTAATTTGCTATAAAACAGGGGTGGACAATACACTCTCAGTGTGACTTGAAGTACATCTTGAGGGACAACTTCAGATTGCCTCTATTATAGCTTGCCATTTGGTCAGAGAAGGGAATTAAGCAGATTAGTCAAGCTAGATGCTTTTCTTTACAAAGCCATGGAGGTTATTATTCAAGACCTTGTTATCTCAAAGGTGTTTGCAAATTGATTTTGGGATAATTTGTTCCAGGTAGAGGAGTTAAGTTGGCAGGCAGATAATTTCTGAAATCATCCTTTGTGCATTTTAAATATATAGGGCCTCCAGTTGCCATTATCAGCCCTCGGGAGCTCCCATCAGTCTTCAATGAGGCCTCAAGGGTGATATTCTGTAGCTCCGTGATGACGCTGCCTAATTCCTTAATATAATTATTCACAGACCGGCTCTGGACAGGATGGAGAGCAACCCCCTCCTGACGCTGTGGGGCTGAGCAGTGCCTGCATTAAGCTCCTCCATCGACTTCCTACCATGGTTTACTGCTCTCCTATTTCAGGCATTAGCAGTTTTCAATTTCTGACCACCCGAAAGAAAATACAGTATTAATCTTTCCAAACATTTACTCTCCTTTCACGTATTTCTAATGGTAGGTGCACGTACAGTAACAAACATCTTCTTGAGTGTATAAATGTTCCCATCTCTAATGGCTTGCCAGTTCACAGGTTCATG